ACAATGTCTATTTCATTTCTAACTTCACCATTCTATCTCCCTGCTGCCTTAGCAACAGCAATAGATAAAAGTTACATGTTTTGTATATATGTAAATAAATTATACATTTATTTACCCATAATCATTGTATTCTTTTTACTTGAATTCACATTTGCTGAATCGTAGAAGGAATTAACAGTAACAACAACAACATCCAAGATCCATTCTTCCAGGTTACCCAGTTCTACCTCCACAAAAAGCTTCATTCACTTTCCTCCATACATAACAGGAATTCATGTGACCAAATAATTCTGGTTTGGTTTCATCTGATCATGAAACAGAGTTCCAATATTTACTCCCATATTCTAGATAGCTTCTAGTATAAGCTAATCTGCATTTTAGGTGTTTAGCCTTATATTAAAATTCTTATCTTCATTTCCTTTTACCTCACCAGTGGTACTATTGTTTGTTCTTCTGTGCTACCATAAGTGTTTTATGACAACTGTTGTCAGAAATGGGATCATAGGTTAAACAAGGAAAAGAATCATAGAACATGTAATAACTTTCGCTTTTAGTTTGGAAAAAATGTCAGAGAAAATGAACAGAATTTTCATTTATTCAATTTATTACAATAAAATATTTTTAATAAAGTAAATATTGATGCTAAAAGTCATATTCAATTTACAGTAATAAGAATTAAATGTTGGTGACAAGATTTATATTTAATTTAGTGTAATAAAATAAGTAATATTTTTTTGATAAGTAAAAGTAAATATTACTTTAAGAAATGTTTTATGAGAATAAAACATTTATTTCATTGCAGATACATACTAATTTGTTAATTGGAAAAAAATATTTAAACTCACATATGATAATAAGGACTTCACAAAATATCAATTTTAGACATCTTGTGTGAACTAATCCTTTTATATTTGAGAATAATCCAAACTGACAATCTGGATAATTTTTTTAATATTAATATGCAAGATATGTATTCAGAATGATATTGAAAAGATCAATACAAATGCAGAAGGATGTTTTATTCTTATAATTAAATTATAATTTAAATCAATAAAAATATTTATTTTTTCTCTGGTATTTTTCAACTCAGAACCCAAATTTGTTACTTTTTTTCCATGACTTTTTTGCCTCAGATTTATTTTTATGACTACTTGAATTTTCTTTACTGCAGATCACCTGAATAATGAATAACATTTGTTTTTAGTATAACACACATAATATTTATATTCTTCATTAGTATTCAACTACACCATTTTTTTTTCTAAGCTAATCATTTATAAACAAATGTACTCAAATTTGATTAACTCCTAAGCAACTCCACGACTGACATCAGTGGCATTCAAACAAATAAAAAAGAAAGTAAAAAAACAAAAAGTGAAAACAAGGAAAACTTAAACAAGAGTAAGTAAATATTCTATCTTATACTGTATTCAGTAATTCTACCAAATCTACTAGTTTAGCTACTCTGAAATGTCTTTCTATTCTATTTATTAAACCAAAAATTCTTTTTTTAAATTTAAACATCTATTTATAACTCAGATCAAAATAATACTCATGCCCCAGATCAAAGTGATACTCTCTGACCTGATGACTTGAATCAAAGTGCCACACCCTAGCCCTATGCCTTGGATCAAAGTAACACTACCTGGCTTAATGCCTCAGATCAAAGTAGCACTCTTTGGCTCTATGCCTCAGATCAAAGTGACACTCCCTGACCCAATACCTTGGTTCAAAATGCCACTTCCTGATCTTATGCTTTCTATCAAAATGTTGCTGAACCACCCATCCCCCACCCACACACACACACCTTATACCTTAAGTCAAAGTGCCAATGCCTGGTTCTAGGCCTCAAATCAAAATACCACTTTCTGGTCTTATGCCTCAGATTAGTATTGCTCACTCCCATTATACTTTGAGTCAAATTGTCAATCCTGAGCCTTATGCTTAGGATAAAATGCCAAAACATCCATTTAATTAACTTGAGTTCTAATTCTTGTACAAAAGTCAAGCAACCTGACTATTGGTCAAAATCCTAAATAGCTTAAGAAGAAAAATTATGTATTTTAAAAAGTAGAATAGTTTAATAAACAAGTTTGTAATTTTTTGATAGTTTTATTGTTAAAATGTATTTTTTTTTTTTTTTACTCAGAGTAAATTTCAGCTCTCAATAGTTTGGGGGAAAAGATGAAGGTAATAAAATAATTACTGAAACCTTTACCTTGCCACCTTTCGGGCAAAACTCCTTAACCAAAGAATGGAAGGGGGTCAACTGAAGATGAAGGAAAGGGAAAGAAAAACAGAAGTGTTTTTTGTACTACAATAAATTATTTTGATAAATATGATTTTTTAATCAATCTGGTTGAAATCTGAAATTCTTGTGTTGACCACCAAAGTTTTTCAGGTAAATTGAAGCTAATCTTTCGGTAATACAAAAAATCCCAGCAATATGACTATTAAGGGGAGTGGGAGACTCAACACCTTTTAAAACATCTGAAAACCTGACCAAGTGTAGACTCAAAGACGCAGCCATGAACCCTACTCCTTAATGAAGTCTTGACAACCAAATTGTCATTTTCATAACAGAATTAAGTCTTTTTTTCCCTCCGACTATTGTAACAATATAGTTGTTTTCACAACATAAAGAAAGTACTGTTCTCAAAACAATGCTCTACATTGAAGACTCAGAAGACAAATGTATTCTGTCATGAACTTCAATAACTCACATCAAATCACAAGAACTATTAAGAACATTCACATTTTTTACCTTCAAGGTAAATATAACCTTTTAATTGGGTTTGACCTCACTGAAACCCATTTTATTGTACCTTCTTCCTTGTAATTTGCATTGTTTTGTGTACACTGACATTTTTCTTATATTTTATATTATTTTATCGATTTTGATTCTATACTTGATTTTTGTAATATAGCAAAAACTCTAAGTCTTCTTTAGCACTGAAAATCTGTTGTGATGTCTTCTATCTAATGAGGCTATTGTAGACTCTTCCATTTACTATAAAGTTAGTAGGAAAAGTAAGCCTCAGGGAAACAGTGATATAGACTGAACGCTGGCCAACTGATACACACTCCCAAGTCATGTAACACACTTCAGTTGTATTTACTGTTCAATACACTATTTATCTGCAACCTCTTATTTTGTTATTTCTTAACCATTTACTTGGTCGAAACAAAATGTTTATTTTATTATGGTGGATGGTTACAAGCGAGTTGGGAGATGGTAGATGGGATGTGTTTATTTCATTACCACAACTAACATTGAACCTTATTTTAGAAAACGTAAGTGGCTTGTCCATAAATTTATTACCCTTTTTTATGGGCGCAAAAACCACTAAATTTGTGCATCCCTAATACTTAATAAAATTTTATTTTATTTTAAGAAAATTGTTTTGGCTTTATATCTCACTGAGTATCACAGGTCAGTTTTTTATAGTGCACCTTGTTGTCGCTTGGCCCCCATTCTTCCCAATTTCTTTTAACCAAACCCACAAAAATACATATTAATAGTTTTTTTTACCTTTTTTCATATTATCAAAGAATTACAGCCTTATAAATATATTTTTGTAATTATTATTGTTATTATTATACTGTGCTCTTTCAGTGTTGCTCTTTTCACTTCCTGGTTTCATAAACATCTTGGGACAGCCTACCATTGTTATAACAAAGACACTGCTACCTGGCTTTGCCAGGGCAAGAGAAAGAATTCTAGTATGTTAAAAAGTTACACATAAACAAAGATTTAAAGAGATTTAGCATATTATATAATTAGAATTGATACAAATAATTAAATTCATTACTTAACTGATTGGTGTTACCTTCATCATCCAGACTCTAGAGTTTCATAGACAAACACTCCAGCAATCATTCCGTCCATACGTCAGGGGATATCAGCAATATAGGTAGGATTAATACAAATATGAACTTTGTCATTTAGCTGATTTTTAGATAGGTAAACTTTATTACATCAATATTGGCATTAAATTTATGACGTTTTTCAGCAATATTAAGTTATAATATTAATAATTTATTAATTTAATTATTTTTTAATTATTTATTTTCAGTACTAAATCGTTAACAATATAAGTTATTTTAATTTTTTTATTTAAAATTTTATTTCTGACACAAACTAAATTTTGGATAAATCACTTCCCCATCTACCCTTGAGACTAGTAACAGTAAAAAAGTATATTACATCCATTGTGAACCTTGACAAGATACAACAGCAGCTGCAAAATATGAATAAATATTTCTGAATTTCATTTTTAAAAAAATCAAATTTAAACGAAAAGAATAATTATTTTTTAAGTCATATCATATGGCTACTTTATGCAATAAAATTTTATATACTTTGACAAAGTTAAGAGGATAAAAATACTTATTTTAATAATATATGTACGTCATAATTTATAAGAGGTGCTAAAAAATTATTGGCTCGACCAAGAATGCATTCTGGTATTTATTAATCATTTGTTCTATTCATGGGAAGTTGATCGGGCCGAGATCTTTTCATCATTCATCGTATATCTCAGTGTTATTTCGCGGTATTTTTTCCTTTTTCTTTTCACCCACGCGAACCGCTATTCTGTAATTCCTGTATTCCGCGAAATTTATCACGTGACTACATTAGCTTCTCACATGACATTTACTGCAGCCCATAACAACAATATGGCGTTGGAGTTGAGTAGTTGCTGCTGTATCGGTCCGTAAAGAAGTGAAAAAGCAAGACGAAAAGAAGGAGAAAATAAGAAAAACACGGACCTTCGCTTGATTGTTTATTCTTTCTTTCATCTCCTTTTACACGTCGTGATGCCAGCCTCAACTGCCAGGATTTTTTCCACGGCATTAGAAGCTAAAGAACAAGTAGCACCCCAAAAAGGAATGACGTCGAAGACAACAACAACATCATCATGTGGATAAGACAACTGGTTTGGTTATGGTTGTGTCGAAGTCTGACCTGCCTTAGACGTTTCGTCTTCGAGCACGCTATGGCAGTGTTTACTGTCTTCTTTGTCGTCCTGGCTATCCACTTCGGCCATTGGGGCCTTCTGTTTTGTTATTTTGTTATCGGGGTTGTGCCGGCAGTTGCGTTTTGCTTTTATGTCATCGGTAGCCAACAGCTATGGGACGTGAACTACATTGCTGACATTCTGTTTCTGTCGAAATCCAGTATGGTGACAAAGTTACAGGCTCTTGGACCCCTCATCTCTAGTGTCCATAAGGGACATGCCGATGAAACCGATGGAGAAATCGATCATGGGACACAACACACCGAGGAGACTACGAAATCTCTTTTAAACATCATTAATAGTAAAAGTAGTAGTAGTAGTAGTAATAATAATGCACTGACAACAACAAAAATTACTTCTACTGTTGATACTACCGAAAAACCGACTTCTTTTAATTCGTTTCCTGTTGTTGACAATGTTCCAACATTGTTTCCTCAGTGCTTCCCTCTTTCCTCTTCCCAGGGGTTGACGCCGGACACGCCCGTGTCCTGCAGTCGCGAGATCGAATGCGAGATTGAGAAGTACGTAAATCTTATTACTAGAGATTTCGTGCAGTCATGGTACAAGATGGTTTGTGCAGAACCGGATATCGTAGAAGAAATCCATGACAAAATCCATGCTATCATGACAGATCTATACCGACGCGTGCGTAACATCAACAGACGCTCTGTATTCGTGGAAACCATTATAATGTACCGTGAACAGCTGACCAAGTTTCAAACGGCCCTGGCTACGTTCAAGATCCAAATGACATACGGAATGAATAAAACCAACCAGAAGCAGAACTTGCCTTCCTCACTCGAGGATGCCTTCAATTTAAAGTATACGCAACACCCGGCCGCAAAAGATCGCGAGGGCTCGATTGAGCATATCAAAGCTCTATTTGAGATCATGATCAACTGCATGGACGTTTTCCCAACTGAATTTAAAGATATAACATCCATGAAGGAAATGTTGATTGAAATCCTTACCATGCAGGTGGCTATCCCGCTCTTAGATATGCTTGAGGATCCTATTTTTTTACATGAAAGTATCATTCTCCTGCTCTCAGATACGCCTGTGGATTTTACAAACTTGATTCCGAGTGCCGACAACCAGCCACCACACCCATTACCTCCAGAGACTATACCTGTGTCTACAGACACTATTAAAGTAAGTAAAATGGTTGGAGTTTGTGACAGCTCACTAAAAGATCCCACCATAAAACTGAATGAAACTGAATTTGATGAGGTGGGTTTAGACATAATAGGTTCTAATTTACAAAAAGATTTTCACAAAGAACACTTGCAACATTCCAATTTTACTTACCAGGGTTTTACAATAGATGAAAACAAAATCATCTTAAATTGCATATCTCCCAAATGTACAGAAAATGTTTTTATATCAGATGAAAAGTCAGATGAAGAGAGTTATGTATTGTCCCACGGATTGCCCTTAAAGCCTTACAACAGTTTATATTTTAACAATGAAAACCAAAAATTTTACGCTCCTGAAAATGGCCTCAGCTGCAAGAGACCAACATTAACCAGTGATTCCACAAGCGTTTTGACTACCAGTGACGAGGAGTCTGAGGAATCAAATAGTCGCAGGAATTCATTGGAAGAAAGAGAGCGCCAAAGGTCAATGTCTGCAGGTAAGGCTGCAGACCTTGAGGCAAGTTTAAGAAATTACTGTGATAAGAAATTGAACAAACAATTGGGGGTAGGGACAGAAAGTGTATCCCACTCAACAAGCTGTGATAGCAAAATGAGTTCCTTGCAAAAAACAAATAGCAGAACTTTCGACCTGAATTTGGACAACTTAGAACCAGATTCTACCAATGCCATCTGCAATGGAGGGACGCAAAAAAAATGTAAACAATGTGCCCGAATTCCGCAATAGCTTTGTTCGGAGTAACTGTCCACTTTTGAGGACCAGTGAATCAGTCCCAAGGTTGAGCCCCACTGAGGGTCGCTATTCATTGTACCGGTTTGACAGCTACAATGCTGAAATTCCCACTAGTCCCGAAAGTGAGTTGGACATTATTAGTGATGACCAGGTGGTCAGTGATAAAAAATATTATCCTACCTGTTTATTTCAGGATATTTGTGTTGTGGAAACTGAGACAAGAAAAGAAAGTCGCAGTAACGGAGTTTACACACTATACCAAATCCAGGTTTGTGGTCATTTCATATTTTCTTTGATCATTTTCAGCACGGAAGCATTTTGGTAGAACATTTAGGTTAAAATAAAAAAAAAAACAGAGAACCTACTATGTATTTTATTTTCTTGATTTCCTTATCACAAGTAAAGGAATCTTTGCAGACATTATGGCTCTTTTAAGAATTGCTTCTGGTTAACAGCTGGGAGTGAAGCCTTGTTAAAAGAGGATCAGACTCAAAATTAGCTAAAAAAGGAAAAAAAACATTTCACATCATAAATTAGCATAAACTATATATATTGAATTAAAAAAAAAAACATTCTTTTTATGTGCCATGTCCCTTCAAGAGATGGGCGATCATGGCTATCCACAACTTCCTAATCTTCATAGTTCTGTTTGGTTCCTTATTATCACTCCTACTGCTTCTACCATTCAAAATTTCCTGAGCCTCAAATTCTCCAAGCCTTCTTTCCTCATTATGTGCCCTAGAAATTTTGCCTCTATCATTTACTGGGCATGCTTAGAAAAACTAGCTGTAGCATTTTCTCTAGCCATAACAATTCAATTAGATTTCTTAAGCAATGAAAAAAATCATGCTTGAATAAAAATAACCTAACCCTAATCTTGCCATAGAAATTTTATTTCAATTCTTAAAAAAAAAAAAAAAAGAAAAGTTACTTAGTAAGTGGATAATAAATCACTATTTATTTTCCTAAGTGTGCTCTGTAAATGGTAGTCAAGAAAAAAATTCAACTGTCTGTTTCTGATTTTAAGTATATTTCTACATAGTATATTGCTACCACACATGGTCCAGTGCTCCTGCTATATATCTAGAGATCCTTGATAAAATCCAAAGAAGAATCAGCAAAATTATTTGTCCTGACATGGCATCCCGGCTTCAGTCACTTTCCCACCATCATAAAGTTGCTTCCCTGTGGCTTTTATACATTCATGGTAATTGTTCTGATGAACTTTTCTCTTTGGTACCTAGACTTTACAAATTTAAGTACAGTAGTAGATTGGCAAGGTTTCATCATTTTATAGTTGCAATGGCTAGATGTAACTCTAAGTTCTAACAGTTTCTTCTCTTGAACTTCTCACTTTGTAACTGTTTTCCAGCTTCTTGTTTTCCAATATACATTGTTCTTGAAAAATTTAAATGTAATATAATCATCTTCTATCACCTTGGAAATCTGTTCTTTTATTGTCCTCCTTAATAAAGATTTTTCTCAGGTTATTTCACTCTCAAAAATCCCTTGCATCTTTAGTGGCTTTATCACCTTGCTTGAAGTGAAATGATTAAAAAAAAAAAAGATCTTGTAATCCTACAGCATTTAGCAGTGTAATATCAAAAAATATTTATCTATTCAAAATTACGAATAATTTATCAAAGCATCATCATCAAATTATAATTTAGCAGTGTAATAATATCAAAAAAATAAATATTTATCCAAAATTACAAATAGTTTATCAAAACTACATCACCAAATTATAATTTACACATTGGCTGTTCTTTGTCTTCTATGTGCCATATCCCTCCAGGACTTGGGCAATCATGGGTCTCCACATTTTCCCCATTCTTTATAGCTTCTTGACTCTTAATAGTTGAAATAAAATGTGAGATTTCTTTTGAGAAGGATAGTTTTATAAAATTCATGAATGCATGAGGGAAGTAGTTCTTTACATATGATGAAGTGTCTTTTTAAATTTGCGAGGTTTTTAAAATTCATCATTTATACTATATTACTTGGGGAGGAGATGGGCGCCACCAAACTATCTAAAACCCAACGGAAAGATCATGAGGCAGAAGAATTAAAGCAAAACCATGCTGGATCAGTTGGGGCCTGGATCAACAACAGCCACAGGTCTCATTGATTCACACCAGAATGGGTGTTACAAGTGGACAACTAGAGAGCGACAAACCAAGGTGCATTGATCAGAGTGTGGAATGTTCACACCCTCTATGCTTTTAGAGAAAGAGTAGACAGACAGACATGACAATACCAGCTGAGAGCAACTACCAACAGATCAGACTGGAGGATGTTGTCTGTTTCTATGCCTTCAGGTCCCCCTTCACTGATGATTGAAGCTGTGGAAGGATTGATAATAATGATGACTCATAGTAACTTATAGATTACCTTATATTGTTCATATTTCAGATACTAACAATTTAAGAGAAATTTGAGTCAACTTGGTATGTTAACATACCAATGTGTTTCTGCTTTGCCTTCACAAAATTCTTGGTTACAGTTAGTAAGTTGCTTGATTCTTGTTGAATGTTTATCTATTTAGACTATTAGTAGCTTCCTTTGTAGTCTATAACCATACACCAGGTGGTTGCTACTGTAAGCATCTTTAAGACAAACAATAGCAACATGTGTTCACATATGGAGCTTTCATGTATAGTGGGGAAACTTTAACATGGCTACCAGTGCTTTTAACCCACTATTTTATGTTCTTCATTTGGATAATCACACAATGTTGGATTTTACAAGTATATATTTACCAGGTCTCCCCACTAAGGCAGGATGTGACACAAGGTCGATTTTTACATAGGGAGCCCATACATATGTATATGGGCAAAGAACAAAAATTGACCAGTCCCCACAACCAATGTCACACTGGTGTTGATATTATTATTACACCAACTCCACCTCTCTTAGGAAGATGCTGTTGCTGGGTTGGAATCCCCAGGGCTGGGGGCCTTCCCCCACCTAAAATGAGGAGAACAGTTTACTCCATTTCTGGCCAAAAGCAACTTTGCCAGGTTGGATTTTACAAGTACAGAGCATTTTTGATGACAAATTAGATAGAGATGTTATTTTCAGGGTAGATGTTCAGTGTTTTCAGCTTATTTACAAGCCAGATGTTTGAATATATGAGCATCAACATTTAGTTTTGATTGGATGCTTGTGGATATCACTTAAGAAATCTCAGACACACAGGAACCATTTCTAAATTCTTTTTTGTTGTATGTTATTTGGAAACAGACAAAAAAAAATATGCTGGAAAAAATTATACACAATCAAATTGGTACCAGAATTACAGCTGAAAACTTGCAGAATTCTAAGCTAATCCTTGCAGAAGGCCTAAATGGAGCTTTTGGCCAGAAGAGGTGATCAGTGATTTGAATTATGTATTTATTGAATCATCTCTAAATTGAAAATCATCATTATGAACTTTGGGGTCACATTAAATTTAAATATCTAAAACGGCTTCACAAAAGATTTCAAGTATGCCTTATTTTTAGAAATTTATTTTATTCTTTTGTTGTGAGGACTTTTAATGAATCTCATTGAGAAATTAACATTTGTGGCACACTACAAATCTAAACAGCAACACTATTTTTTTTAAATCTGAATTTTCAGTTGACTGGAAAAAATATGAGGACAGAAATTTTCAACTAGACATCTACTTTATCTGGTTAAACAAAAATCAGTTTAACTAACTTAATTGACACAAAGTAAAGATCACATTTAGGATTATATTTATATCATAAACCAAAACCCTCACTAAAAGCATAGTATTCTCAAAAATTCTTCCAGGGTCCCATTTGTAACTGGAGAAAATTTGGTGCCCATAACTTTAGCCATTCTTGTGTTATGCAATAACAGACAGATAAGCAAAAAAAGTAATTTGGTAAATTATAGTAAGATAAGTCACCGGAACAGATTGAAAGAATTAGGTTGAACAACATTAAAAATTAGGAGAACTAAGGTGAAATGGCTAAAATTATACACGTTTTTTTAACCAGCCAACCGTAATGTGTCTTTTTTTACAGTAGCCAAAAAGATAAACAGCTGTAAATTAAATATCAAGAAATTTTCTTTATACAGTCAGAAGTCCATGAAACAGTCTGCTAGAGGATATGTGCTTGTCTCATACAAATGTGGATATTTTTAAAAAGAATTATGATAGTTAGAATACCACAAACAATGGCTTTAAAATTAAAGTTAACTTGATTTATATTTGAATTTGATGCATACCTATTTTGTATAGTTTTCTATGCTACTAAATATATTATCTGTCTTAATTGTTGTTAATTTTAATTAAATTTATCAGATTATTTTTTTTTAAGTTGTGAACATATTCAGGTTTAAGAAAAAATTTTAGGGAATTTAAACTTGGTAATTTTTTTTTTTGAAGTTCACACAATATAAAGCCACAGAGCCACTCAAGGCAGAGGATTACTGAATGAGGTGTGTAATATTAACTTAGGAGGAAGTAAAATGTTAAAATTATGAGGATATGTAAGATAGATAGCAATTGACCTTTGACTTAAAGAGGTTAAGATTGCAGTGTTCAGCATAGCATCCATACAGGAATCTGTTCCACGAAATAGTAATTTTTGGGAAGAAGCTTTTGGAGTGGAATGCCCTTTGTACCAAATGAATAGATAGGGAATGAAGGTGATTCAACTCTGAACAAAGAAAGGCAGGTCTTGACTGTAAAAGTTTGAACTGGTGGCACTAAAGCTCATCTGAACATTAGCCATGGAAATAGTAATAGATTTGTGATGTTGCGTCTCTAGGGAAGGGGATGTAAAATATCATGCCTACCAGGCAGCATAAAGGATTTTTTTTAACTCTGTTAAGACTGGAAAGTAAGAATTGAGCAGTTCCATCCCAGATATGGTAGTAATATTCTATTTTTGGTATTCATCTTGACTCTTGTAAAGATAAAGCATGGCAGACGGAATCTGGTACTTTCGGAAGTGGTACCAGGAGCTGGCAATAAAACTTTTATTTGATCCATATATTCTCTAAGTCAGGGCATAAAAAACAGTGTTTACTTGAATTAATATTTAGCCAAATAAAATGTCTTGTAGGAAATACATTTTGCATTACAAAATAACATTATTAAATGAATTGTAATTACTAAGATTTGTTTAATACAAAGTCTTCCCAGGAATGTATCCAGATATTTAATACTAATGAAAATATAGCCTACCTAGAGTAATAGTGCCTTAGTCGTCTTCAAAGTACTTCCCTTGGTATCCCATACACTTATTCCAG